GGGGGCAGTAAGTATTATTATGTCTTCAAATCGACGCAAACTCCCTCTAGCGGGGCGTCAAACTTCATCATGGTAAATAGCCAAAGCGGTGGTGTTCAACTCAGCTCACTTGACACATGCTAGCTCAAACGTTGCTTCTACTGCCGTGTGGAGCCGAGAGCGCGGAGGTCTGAGACCCCTCCTGGGTGTTACAAGATTTGCCTTAATGTCACGGCTGTAGCTTCGCGTTTTACGACCGCCTCCAGCGATGCTGCCGGTTTAATGGTTTGAACACGTGCCGGTCCCTGGAGGCGCTGCTCCGGCTCTGCGCTCTGATCGAACACACTTCTAACCAACTTCGGGAGCAAAAATGTAACATTGGCGCTCTACACTAACTGAGCGATAGCTTGAATGACTGATGGGTATTAATCATTGTTCAGCGCATAATCCTTGGGAGATTGAAAGCATTATCTTAATAAACAAATGAACGGCTCCCACTCAAGTTTATGATTTCTTTCATATGGTGTTTCGTGAACGTTCTTAATTTCCAATGGTTTCAAGTGTTACACTCTTTGATGGTTGTATGATTTCAAGTAGTCTTTAATTATTTCTTATCCCTCGTGCTTTAAACAGTGCAAGACTCGGAATATATTTACGGCTGCGAAATAGATTACTCCTTCAAAGCACAGGGTCAGTTAGAGCGAGACATTAGTTATTGAGACCCGCAAGATACGACAATGTATCCGCTGAAAGGCTTCAAAGGATGAATAAAATACAGGAGAATTAACTCCTAAACCTTTGATAAAACTTGCTATTTTATTGGTTCGGTAATCATGGCACATTTCTGCTTCATACCGACCTTGAATACCAAGGAATTTAATGCACAAACGGTGCATATCATAATAAAGCAAAAGAATAATGGGGAAAATGTGTTCTCTCGTCGGTAAATAATCCCATTTGCCCATTCAAAACCCACCAAGTTTGTGTTTTTCTCCCAGGTAACTGGAATTCCCGTGCACACCGTACACCTGAGGTCTACAACGTTACTTCTTTAAACATCACCGACAGTTTTCGCAAGAAAACTGATTTCCAAAAACCGTTCTAAAGTATATCATTCAAAACATCTGAAGTGTGTTCCGAGTGTAGACGCCATTGTACTGTGTTCCCTGCTGTTAATTTTCAAAGTGGCTTTGGTATTTTGAATTACGCAGAACACAATGACTGATCTAATAACAGTGATCGCTGCAGCTTCGAACCCCTCAAAATTGTATTTGTTGATTTTGGTATTCTTTACATGATTTTCTAAAAGTCGTGTAGATAGGATACACAAACGTTAAGGTGCCCCACCCCCCTCTCCATCTCTCTCTCTTTCTCTCTCTCTCTCTCTCTCTCTCTCTCT